ACGAGGTGAGCAGCGGGGCCCAGCTCAGGATCCGAGCCCTGTAGGGGTCGGCCCCACCCTCTGGGATCTGGAGAAACCCCGCTGTAAGGACTGGATCGTACCGGATCCATCCGGCTGGGAAGGGAGGGGACTGGACCTGGTTTAGCTGGGCCCAAGATGGAATCACTAGCTCAATACTGATTTGAGGAGGGGGTGTATTAGGGAAGGGGTGGAACCGAGATGCGCTTTGCCCCTGTTTGGAGGGGGCGTATTATGAAAAAGGGCGGGACCAGGCAGTACTGAGGACTTGGGGTGGGTGTGCGTAGGGGAGGGGCCGGGACCACCAGACGCTGCGACAATTTGAGAGGGAGGCTTGTTGGGGAGGGGGCGGGACCGAATGGTACTACGGACTTCGAGAGGGGCGTGTTGGAAAAAGGTGCTGGACTGAGTCCGTGACCATCACGCATGCGCACTGTGGATCGCTAGAAAGGGGCGTGTAAAGAAGGGCCAGTTCGGAGACAAGCCAGCTGCCAAATGCGCATGTGCACGGTGGACATCAAAGAAAGGGCTTGTGCTGGGAAAGCAGGCGGGGCTGAGATGGGCCCTGCAGCGGTTGCGCATGCGCACTGTCGACTTGCGGCTGATAGGGGGGTGCACTGGGAAAAGGGGCGGGGTCCTCAGAGCTGCCGCGCTGGCACATCTTCCTGGAAAAGGGGAGGGTGCGGCTGCAGAGAATTGAGACCTAGACGCTCTGGATCACTGAATTGAGAACGGAGTCCTTGGGGGTGGGGGGAGGGGCTTGGGATTGGGACCTTAGGGAAGGTGAGGATCAGCCTCCCAGCAGAGCAGGAGAGAGGACGTTCCGTGGGCTCTCCTCCTGACCCAGGCATTCTCTCCTTCAGGCTCAGGTCTTGCCAGGCCAACTTGAGACATGTCTGACACAAGCCAGAGTGGTACGGGTCCAACCCGCGTCCAGGTAAGTCCTCTTTCTGCGCCCTCATAGCTGCTTTTCCTCTCCAGTCCCTGCTGCTGCCCCAAATCCTTTGGCACCTCCCCTCCTGTCCCTGACCTTCTCCACCCACTTCCCTGCTTGGGTGCCGCCCCCCTCCCCCAAGTAGAGGGAGGGAAGAGGGAAGGAAGGAGGGAGGAAGGAAGGCGGGAGGGATGGTAGGCCCCCATCTCCTCTGCTCAAAGGAAGGGGAGGCCTTGTTGGACAGAGGTGGTCAGAGCACACTGCAAGTAGGAGTTAGTGTAGTTCTGATAAGTGAGGCCCTGAAATTTTGGAGCCGTTTGCCTAATTGAGGGTGGGGAGAAGGTCTGTGAGCGTCCCTGCTCCCTCTTGCAGACTGAAGCTTCAGAAAAGGACAGCAGCTTGAAGACCCAGACCCTATTGACAGTGACCCAGAACTTGGAAGTCTCAGAGACACCGAAGGCCTCAAAGGCACCAGTGGTCTCAAAGGCTGTGAAGGTCTCAAATGCTGCAGGGGTCTCAAAGGCCACAGAGGTCTCAAAGGCCACAGAGGCTCAGGAGGTAACTGCCACTCAGTCCTCACCTACCACTAAGCTGACTGATACCCAGGTTCTGGCAGCTGAAAGGAAGAGTCTGGCAGCTGACACCAAGATGCAGAATGCTGACCCTCAGGCTGTGACAATGCCTGCTACTGAGACCAAAAAGGTCAGCTGTGTGGCTGATACAAAGGTCAATACAAAGGCCCTGGAGACTGAGGCTTCTGCCTCTCAGGCTCCGGGAGATGAACCTGAGCCTGAGGGTGCAGCTGCCCAGGCTCAGGAGAATCAGGATACTCGGCCCAAGGTCAAGGCCAAGAAAGCCCGAAAGGTAAGACCTTTGCCCCTCTACTCCTCTCCTCTCTTAGTTGGTTCATGGCTCTGCAAACCTTAAGAAACTTCCCTATGCTAATCAAGGCTGTGGGAGACACTCAGCAAAATGTGATATAATTCCTGTCATCAGAAAGCTCACAGACTGGTGGAGACAGGAGACAGGAATATGCATAACAGCAATTTGAACGAAATGCAGTTTATATTTATATAGTAGCTACCATGTATAAGGTCTTGAGCTAAGCACATTCACACAGGTTATCTCATTAAATCCTGAAAGTAATCCAGTTTCGTAGAGAAGGAAGCTGAGTCCCAGAGAGGTGGAGTGACTTGTCCAGGGTGGTATAAGCAGAGCCAGTGGTGGACACAGGAAGAGGAGAAGCCTCAGGCCCCACCCTTGGGTTGCTCCTGGCCTAGTGGGAAGATGAACTCCTGCTTGGAAACCAGTGAAAGACAAACCCACGACTCAACATGGCCACTGTCTAGTGAGTTAGGCTGTTACTGCAGGGGTGGGATTAGAGGGGACATCTGGAAGAGAGAAGATGAGGAAAAAGGACCATCTGTTTCATCTGGCAATGTTGTACTACTTCTCTGTTGATGCAGGTGAAGCATCTGAATGGGGAAGAGGATGGCAGCAGTGATCAGAGTCAGGCTTCTGGAACCACAGGTGGCCGAAGGATCTCAAAGGCCCTAATGGCCTCAATGGCCCGCAGGGCTTCCAGGGGCCCCATAGCCTTTTGGGCCCGCAGGGCATCAAGGACTCGGTTGGCTGCCTGGGCCCGGAGAGCTTTGCTCTCTCTAAGGTCACCTAAGGCCCGGAGGGGCAAGGCTCGCCGCAGAGCCGCCAAGCTCCAGTCATCCCAAGAGCCTGAAGCACCACCACCTCGGGATGTGGCCCTTTTGCAAGGGAGGGTAAGAACTCTGTCCTCTCCACTCTGCATTAGTCACAGCTTTGGCTGTCCTCTTCTCTGCAATCCTCTCAAGTCTTCTGCAAATATATTTTGAGCTTTCCATCTTTTTCTCTTCTTCTAGGCAAATGACTTGGTGAAATACCTGTTGGTGAAAGATCAGACGAAGATTCCCATCAAACGCTCAGGTAGAGTCCTCCTAACCCTTCCTTCCCCCAGCTCTGCCCTCCATTGCCCTCTCCCCTCCATGTGCTGAGAGCCTTTCTTGCTCTTATGTTCTTATTTCTGTCCTCCCAAGGTTCTAATTTGGCAATGCTAGCATCTCTTTCATTAGCTCAGAACCTGTTTGTGCCACCCACAGCCGGGTTGGTAAAGGGTCTATAGTTTGGGTATGGGGGCCACCTGGCTTCACTTTAGCCCAGGTGCTCGCAACACTCTCCCCTTGCAGACATGCTGAAGGACATCATCAAAGAATACACTGATGTGTACCCTGAAATCATTGAACGAGCAGGCTATTCCTTGGAGAAGGTGAAGGGGCAGACCTGGGGGATGGGTGCAGTCGGGAAGCCTTGAATCAAACAGAGGTGTCCATGTCCCTTCTGGGGGGGACCACAGAGACTAACTAACCCAGCCCTGTCACTGCACAGATGAGCAGACAGTGGCCTAGGGAGGGCCATAGGCTAGCTCGAGGTCACTCAGCAAGTCAGTGGTAAAGCACAGCGAGGACCCAAGCCGGCCCAGGTTAGTCCTGGCTGCTGTCCACTGATTGACACGTCCTGTAATGTATTTCAAGTGGTCACCTCTCCCTTCCATTGCCCAGTCTCTGTCTCCCTAGATTCCCACTAATCACAAAGATGAGGTTGATAACAATAGTACATCTGTTGCTTGTTAGCTGTGTGCCGGCCACGCAACTAAGTGCTTAATGTGCATTATCTCACTGATTTCACACACACACACACACACACCCCTAGGTACATGGGGAGCTGTGGGATGCCCAGGAGCTGAATTTTTTGATCTCACAAGCTGTTCTCCCCATCCACAGGTATTTGGGATCCAGTTAAAGGAAATTGATAAAAATGACCACTTATACATTCTTCTCAGCACCTTAGAGCCCACTGATGCAGGCATACTGGGAACGTAAGCTGGGATAGGGCTAGGGTGGGAGGGAGGCTTCTGCCTTTGTCCATCTCTGTCCTCTTCTCTCCTCACATTCCCTTGGGGAGTCAGGAAAGACAGAGCCTAAAAAATCCCCTGTTCCAGCTCCTGAACGTAGTTGGAGCCCTACTCAGACTAGTGGTGCCTGATTATGATTGACTCAAGGGTGTAGAAGCCTGGGGCAGGGCATTCCTACTGTCAGATTTTCTGTCTCTCCAGAAGCTTCCCAGGAAAGCAGACCTGTCATTGCTTGTCTCTTCCTGTTGACCTTGGTAGAATGGTTCTCAAGGGAGGGCTTCCTGGTATGGGTGGATCATGGTGCTTGAAGGACAGGAGCATCACTGGGGCTGTGCCTCGAGTTCTCTCAGGGCTGAGGAGTCTGGGAGAGAAAGAAGGGACTCATATTGACTGGGTGCCCAGGTCGTACCAAGTTGACAGGCATCCTTCTATCTTCTCAGCAGCCCGGGGAGAGGAGGATGTGATCTTCCCATTTTATGCATAGGAGACTAGGCTCAAGAGTCTAAGTGCCTCACTCAGGGTCACATAGAGCTTGAAGCATAGACTGGGAGGAATTCTCCCATATCTGAAGAATCTGGGGGAGGCTAGCCCAGTGAGCTGGCCAGTGTGATTTTATGCAGATGGCTGCTGGACGTAAACCTTCTCTCTGTCCCATTATTCTCCTAGGACCAAGGACTCACCAAAACTGGGTCTTCTCATGGTGCTTCTTAGCATCATCTTCATGAATGGAAATCGGTCCAGTGAGGGTGAGTGGCTGGGCTGGCAGCTGAATTGGGGGTTGTGGTTGGAATTCCACATGCTCATTTTTTGTCCCTGTTCTTTTGCCTCCCCTTGCAGCTGTCATCTGGGAGGTGCTGCGCAAGCTGGGGCTGCGCCCCGGGTATGATTGGGCTCTCTCAGCGCTTGCTGTCCGTGTTGTCCTTTGGCAAGAGAGGATGGTCCCAGGATTGCATCGGCCTGGTGGTCTGGTGGAGTGGGCGGGGGGTGCTGAATGGGGCAGAAGGTCCAGGGTTCTGACCTGGGTGGATGGGGAAAGGGTCCTCTCTGTCTCACTGTCTCTTGGGGTTCTGTGGAGCTTCCATCATATGTTGGAAACCTCTTTTCTATGTTGCTGGAAATGCCTCGGCCCACACCTGGGATGTGCCACAGCCCCGACTGTATTTATGTATATATGTATGTGTGTACGTATGTATTTATTTATCTTTTTCTGCTGTCAGGATACATCACTCACTTTTTGGGGATGTGAAGAAGCTCATTACTGATGAATTTGTGAAGCAGAAGTAAGTGTCTGTCTGGTGTTGATGTGTGCCATGCATTTTGCCTGTTTCAGAACTGAGTAATAAAGCTATGGTGTATGTGTGTGTGCTTGTGCATGTGTTTATGTGTGCATATAGAGGTGCTCGCTTATTCCTGAGGTTGTGACAGAGAATAGGTGCACACATTTCCTGACCTATTTGTACTCTCACATATGTCTTCAGAGAAATTTCAAGGCAGGGATTGTCATCACTAGCATTTGTACATGTGAGGAAACTGAGGCTTAGAGAGGTGAAATAATTTGCTCAGGATTATACAGGTAGCAAATAGAAGAGTTGTGTTTAGATTTAAATCCTGGCCCCAGTATCTTGGTTATTTTTACTGTGCTTGCTCAGGCTTCATAGAAAGTAATTTCCATAAAGAAATGCCATAAATTGGATTGGTAGCTTTAGGCAGTCAGGTACTGTACTGGGGTCTTGACTTGTACATCTCATTTCATTTTCATAAATACCCTGCAGAATAGCTGCTGTTATCCCATCCCCGTTATTACTTAGGAAGCCTAGGACTCGGAGAGTGGAAGTCTGAGCATGACCCTGGCTGGTAAAGGGTCCATTCGGACCTGGAGCCCAGCCCTCCTGACTTTGTTGACCAGGACCCACCCTATCCTTGATCCCTGGAGAATATGTGTGCACTCGCACACAAATGGTAGGGAGGATGCATGGAGTACACTGCTGTAGGTTGACAGTTTCTTTCCCTCACAGTCATTTTCTGTGGGCGACTGTCTCAGGGCTCAGCCAGGCCATGGATGAACCCCTTTGATGGGCGTGCTCAGAGCAGGGGGCATGAAGAAATGGTTTACAACAAACCCAACAAGAATCTGGGTCATTGTGACCAGGAGCACGAACTCATGGCCTTCCCGTGAACAAACCCCATACACATGTCCCCCTGCACCTCCATCTGATTGCTGAGCAGGACCAGTGAGACAGGGCTCAATATTGGAAGAGACAAGCTGCAGTATTCAGCGGGGGAGTTTGCCATCTGAAGCCTGTCTAGTCCATGCATGAGTGGACTCTGAGTGGTCTTATAAAGTCTTTGAACCTCTCTTTTCAAGGTACCTGGACTATGCCAGAGTCCCTAATAGCAATCCCCCTGAGTATGAGTTCTTCTGGGGCCTGCGCTCCTACTATGAGACCAGCAAGATGAAAGTCCTCAAGTTTGCCTGCAAGGTAATTAGAGAGCTGCCCAAGCTTGGCCTGTCAAGAACATGGGGTGCCACTGGGTGGGATAGGCCGTGTGCAGAGCAGCCTGCAGCTCATACACGAACATTCTGAAGCCCGTATGAATGTGCCAAATACATTATCTGAATTGTTTAATCTTTACAACTAATATGTCATTACCTTACTGCAGATGAGAAAACTCAGGCTCAGAGAGGTTGTTAGGTGACATGTCCAAGGTCACAGAGAGAGTAAGTGTCAGAGCAGGGATGGAATATTAGATGCATAATTACTAGTAGTATTTATTGTATTATTACTACTGTGTATAGCATGTAGCATGGTGCCTAGCATACAGGAGGTGCTCAGTACTCAGACTTCCCCTTCAGATGGTTGTTATTCTCGTTTCAGGTACAAAAGAAGGATCCCAAGGAATGGGCAGCTCAGTACCGAGAGGCAATGGAAGCAGATATGAAGGCTGCGGCTGAGGCTGCAGCTGAAGCCAAGGCAAGGGCTGAGATTAGAGCTCGAATGGGCATTGGGCTCGGCTCTGAGAACGCTGCTGGGCCCTGCAACTGGGATGAAGCTGACATTGGACCCTGGGCCAAAGCCCGGATCCAGGCGGGAGCCGAAGCTAAAGCCAAAGCCCAGGAGAGTGGTGGTGCCAGCGCTGGTGCCAGTGCTGGCAGCAGCTTCAGTGCCAGCACCAGCCTGACTGCCACCCTCACGTTCGGGCTCTTTTCGGGCCTTGGTGGAGCTGGTGCCAGCACCAGTGGCGGCTCTGGTGCCTGTGGTTTCTCCTACAAGTGAGATTTCAGGTATCTACTTAGACTTGGGGTCAGTCGGGACTCATGGGGATGGGATGAGGAGCTGGGTGGTTATAAGAAGGCCAGGGTTAGAGGACCACATGGAGAGTATGGGAAAACACTGCTTTTGGCATTTTATTCCTTCCCTTTTAGTGGATAGCAATTGACTTTTTGATTTTCTTTTATTTGTGTTTTCAGATATTCCTACTCCCAGCAGTCTTTCTCTTCGAGCCAGGGTGCATCCTCAGAAACCTACTCAACACAGCACTCTAGGCAGCCACTATCAATCAATTGAAGTTGACACTCTACATTAAATCTATTCGCCATTTCTGAGTTTATTGCTTTTTTTGGTGGGCTGCCACATTTTGGTATCACATTTAAAAATGAATTGGGAAAGTTTTCACCTCAATCTGTGCTTAGAGGTGACACTGTTGGATTCACTGGGGCAAGAGCAGCATGCCTCTCTGGAATAGGTAGGGCCCCATCTCTAGCCTACAGAGCAGGCAGGATTGCAGTGGTGTGGGGAGTTGTAGGGAGCACAGGTACGGAGGACACACTTTGATGAAGAGCCCTGAAGTTGGCAAGTCTGGAGCAGGAAAGCAGAGGAGACTGGACATCAAGTATAGGCTCTTCTTTTGAGAAACTTGGGTGAGACAAGAAGGAGAGAGAGGTAGGTAGCTAAAGGGAGATAAAGGACAAGCAAGGGTTTTCTTGGGAAAGGAGAGAGGGGCTTGAGCAGGCAGGAGCTGATAGAGAGGAAGATGTTGAAAACTGACTCATGCAGCCCAGTCCCTGAGGTGGTGGGAGGGTAAGGCCTATGAGAAGGATCTGTACAGAAAGGACTTGGAGAGGGGACTGTGGAAGGGTGTCAGGCAGCGCGGAGGCCTCTACAAGATTCAGTAATCTTGAAGGAATCAAGAGGAGTGTTACTTTATTCCAAGATTTTAGTTCTGTTGTTTGGTCGTGGAAGAAGGACACAAGACCAGGGGCAGTGAGTGTTTGCGTCTATATCTTCATTACTATGTCCACAGTGTCTGACACAGAGTAGGTGTACAGAATGGTGGATGAGATGGACCATGGGACCCAGGCAGGCTTGATGAGGAAGATGAGATTGTGTGACAGATCGGGAGACAGTGCAAGAGTTTGTGGACAGGAGCCTCAGTGAAGTCTATGAACAAGGCAGAATGTTAAGTGAATATACCAAGTGCCTCCTATGTGTCTGGCAGTGTTCTAGGTGTCTGGGAAGGCATGTTGAGAGAACTAGAAGGATGAACTGTGGACTAGTTAGATGGTCAAACAGTGGGATGATTATATTTAAGAAGATAGCAGAGAGAGCTCTGGGTGATAAGGTCCAAGGGATAAGTGGTTAAAGGGGGAGAAGATGCCACTTCCTGGAGATGAGTGTCCAATGGCTTGGAAAGACAGTGTTGGTTAGGTCATCCATTTGGATTGTGAAATCACCCAGGATGGTGCCAGGAGTTGGGGTAGAGAGAAGCACTGTGAGCTGGGTGCCAAAGTCCCCTTGTGTAGTTGAAGGTGTAGCTCCACTGCCCATTAAGGCATGGGGCCCTCAGGCAATCAGAGATCCACCTTCGCCATGTTTGGGGGAGTATTTCCCTGGACGTTTCTTTCTAGGAATCCCTCACCATCTAATCCCCACATTACCAGACCCCCTAATCTGGGACAGTCTTAAGGACAATGAGGCCTTAGTAATAGCTGCATCTCCCTGTAGAATCTATAAGCAATAAAGGAACATGGTTTATTGCTTAGGGAACAGGATCTAAACAAGAAAAAGCTGCATCAAGAGCAAGGCAGTTTCTTGCCTGTGGCCATGAATCAAGACCTACTTTAGCTGCTGAGGTGTTCTTCACTGGATGCAAAGATTTTTCCATTAATTCCATAGGCCATGGTCTCCTCAGGGGCTGGGTAGTACCTGGGAGAGGTCACAGGCAGATTAGGCCTAGGAAGGACTCTCTAGTGGGTGGGTACCATGTCCGGGGCCCCTTCAGATTCCCAGGTTATATCCATCTAAAAATGGAATGGATACGGGATGATGGGGAGGGGTAGCAGGGAACCTGGGGACTGATTCTAATAGTTCAAAGTGCTTGGTAGAAAGAAGGGTGAATCATAGTCATGAAGAGCTCTGCCCTTCCGACTTAACTTTCCTTTTGCAGACCACTGGGCTTGCAGGGCTCCCCATCTCTTTTCCTTTCCTACAAGGCCTAGAATTGGTCAGGACAAGTGATGGGTTTATCCTCACTACTCAGATGTAAGGACTGAAGACGTGGAGCGAGGAAGAGATCAAGTCTGGTCCCAGGCAAGTGGGAAATGTCCAGAGCCAGGAAGAGGGAGTGCCAGAAGAAATGGGGACAGACTCTGGGTGCATGTTTTTGCCATCTTTATCAGATTGGAGACCACTGCTATGGTGAATAAACTCCCATAATTTTCAGTATGTCATTGATAAGATTCCAAATAATTCTAGAACACATCATGTATCTTCCCTTGTTAGGAGTGGAAAGAGCTCCTAGAGCAGTTTCTCCACCTGTTTTTTATTATCACCATTTTAAATTATCACCTAGAAAGAAGCCTTTTTAAACATTTTTGTTCTAATTGCACCCCCCCTTGTGAAATTTGAATGCCACAGATAAACTGTATATCTATATAACTGTGTATTTATGCATTATACATAAAAAGAGTTTCGATACAGGATTTATAGTGACTAACTTGTTTATGTTAAAAGTTAGTTTAACAATTTAAAAAGCCATTAACATTTAACTTTATAACTATTTGCTGAGCAACTTTAAATGTAACTTATTTACATTGTAATGTATCAAATTACATATGTAAATTAGCAATTTATACAGTTGTGATGATAATAGTGATGTAATCAAAATTTTAGAACATTAATCAAAACTAATTTTTTCTGCAAAAGAAACAAATGAAAATTTAAATTAACTTTATAAAAATTATTTTTAGTGGACTTAACTTTCAAGTGTTGCCTGGTATGAGAAAATAACTAGATGCTAGATATTCATTCAGGTGTCATCAACATTTTTTCTTTTCAGTACTTGACATAATTAATGATTGAATGACTTCTGTAGAATTAAATAGAAGCCATTTTTATTTAATTCTCAAAGCCCAAATAACACACAGAGGCACTGAAGGTTAAACATTAAAGCAGTCAGTGGCAGCCAGTAGGCACATGCAGGTCACTTCTCACGGTATGACTGCAAGAATGAGCAACAGATTAGAAGTCTTTCCATCATAGCATCCTATTCGCCATGATTTTGTAGCGCCGATCTCACATTGTGTATCTTCCTCATTGCTGCTCAGGTGAAAGCCAAGAAAACCCAGTAACGGAAATTAAATACTAAAGAGTAAGGTTCGTCTGGTAGGGTTGAGCTTTAGAGGGCCACAAACAATTGTAACTTTTCTGAATTTTTTTAAATGATTTTTGTCCCTCAATGACCAGTTTTCACTCCCTTGGGGATGATTACCCACCACCCCATCTGCCCTTAGCCCTGCATTGAGAATAAAAACCCTACAATAACATTTCACCTGGGCCTAATAAGATAGAATGAATGCTGGATAGCCAGGGTGGGTGTGGGGTAAGGAAGAAAGAGAGAAAGAAAAGGGGGAGAAAGGAGAGAGGGTGGGAGGGAGGAAAGAAGTAAGAAAAAAAGAAAAGAGATAAAGGGAGGAAGGGAGGAAAAGAGAAAAAGAAATACCTATTAGAGACCATTTGTGAGAACAAAATGGGTAATGAACTTCCTCAAACTTAAACTTACAAAAATGCCTTGGTACAACATAATGCTACAAAGCCATACATAATAACCATTCACCCCTCCAAGAGAGGTCACCCTAAATCTTATCAGCTACCATCCCCAGATCCAGGTCCAGGAATTTGGGGGTAGTAGACTTTCCTCTCCCACCTACCCTGCAATCCCTTCTAGATACGCTGCAGGCTATGAACTAGATTGTACATTGAACACCATTCATACACAATATTCTACAGTGGGGTGAAGATGAAGAAAGAGGATGGAAATAAATCTCACACACACACACACACACACACACTAAAGCTCTACCCTACCAGATGTAGGAAGGGAGGAAATAGGAAAATGGCTATAGTCCTTGTGATTGAAACTAGTAGTCCAGAGGCCATGGCTGGGGTTCTGACTGCCCTTTCTCTCTTTTGAATCCATGTGCACCCCTTGTCTTTAACAAGCGCCTTAGCTGTTTATGGTTATTTGCTTGGTAGTGTGAGACCCTTGGTGGTCCTGCATGTGTATGGCTACTGTATTTTTGGATAAACCTGATCACTGGATATAATGTGGATTAAAGTACTACGGGGATTTCCTGGGACTCATATATACAGAAGGTAGAGTATTCTCTGCTCCATTGGGTCCAGCAATCCTGAGCATGCCTCGTAGGACTAAGTTGTGCATTATGTTCCTAAGAGACCCTAGAGGTTGCCTCCACAGTGATTGTGTGGAATTTGAGCTCTTGGAGGCCCAACCTGAATTGGCTTGCTGTAATCTGCATCGAACTTTTGCCACTGGACACGGCAATGCTAGAGTCATGCAGTGAATCTCCAGGGTTCCAGACATGCTCTTCCCTGCCCCCACTGTATAGCAGACTCCCTATTTCCACTTGATAGTTAGGATGATTCATCCCAACCACATAGTAAACACCCTTTTTGCCTATTGGCTCAATGTCATGAGGTGCTCCAAATGGTCAGGTGGAAGTCCCAACTTCCTGTGAGTCAAATTTTTGCAAGAGTTTCACTAAGTGAACTGATGAGAGGTGTCACTCTCATTTTCACCCTTTGATTCCTAGATCCATGTGTTCTGTTTATGGGAGAAGGAACATCACATATTGGTTGTTGATTCAAAGAAATACTGAATTTTGTAGGATGGCCTTCAGACCTCATAAAATGTTGTTTCCTGTCATCATAACTAAATCTTCCATAAACCATCCCATCCTCTACAAGGACTGTTGCTTATGGGAGATGGTGTATGTGATGAGAACAGGGAAGCCCCTCATTGTTTGACTTGGCTTAACTCTCACTGTGAAATGTGTTCTTTGACCAGGAAAAAAATATATTGTTTGGAATTTTTTAATGATGTGCAAAGTGCATAAAGTAATTAGAATATCCAAAGATGATGGTGCTGATGAAAGAACCAGGGAAGGCAATTCCATTCCATTATATATGATTATTCCAGTAAGGATAAATTGATACCTGCTCCCTGATGGAAGAGGTCCAATGTAACCCCTCTGTCATTTAAGGACTTGTCAGTCTCCCCAGGAAATGGTGATATATTAAGATTTCT